CAGTACAACACAGAGGTATATCCCAGAAACAGAGACAGCTGCAAGGGGCTCCATCATTCTGAATAGCATCTTAAAAAAGGTGCTCTGCTGCAACTCACCGTTTCCCTCACCAAAGTTCATCAGAGAAACGCTTCTTTATGACTTATCATACCAATTTCTTGATCTTTGCTAAAAAAGCAACGGAGAAACTTGTTTGATGCAAACTCTATGCTCCTATCTGCAAGTAACTTGAAACTGGTAACAGTTCTCTTTTTTTATTTCAGGAGGTGAACAAATAAACTTCTTAAAACTGCACTCACCAATGATTCCTGATTCAACAGCACAACAGAAAGCACCAATATGTGCCAAGAACCATCAATATGATAAATCTTGTGATTCCTGATTCAACAGCACCACAGAAAGCACCAACACGTGCCAAGAACCATCAATATGATAAATCTTCAACACAGATAGGTATCCACAACATATCAAAACCACATTCTTTCCCCCAGAAATTGCCCCAAATCCTCCATCACACCCACACGCCGCTCCCCAGCTATGCCCATCGCAAGCCGGTGACACTCTGCAGCTCTCTCACGTTGGCACGGTGTCACAGCGTTGGCACTGAGAGCACGTGTTTGCACTGGAACTGCTCCTTCTAATCGGGGTTTTGGCTTTGTTGGGTTGTTTTGCTTGGGGAGTGGAGAGAGACAAAAAGCATCAGTTTTTCCTCTAACAGTATCTGGGCCAAGGGTTAATTCTCAGCAATTAAAACCAAAATCCAAACCACATTTTTTCCATAAACAGCTAACGGTCTTGGATCTGTCAACAGACCCAGCACACAGCTGATTTTTCAGAAAATAAAGAACACGCCTGCAATAAGACATGACAAATAGCAACAGCTAGTTTAAAAACAACTAATTTTTACAAATCCCTTCACTTGATAAAGGCTTACAGGTCTCCTGAAACTTTTTTTTAAAGAGACAGAAGAGAACATTCTGCCATCTCATACAATGCAACCTAAGCATTCATCTTATATACCACAGCGGCAGAGGAATGGAAAAACCAGCAATATTGTACCCTTTGGCTTCAAGGAGAAGAATCCATTATATTTTCATAGGCTGGAAATCATGCTGCACATTGACAAAGGACACGGTTAGCCAGCAGTAAGTAAACATCATTCACTTGGTCAAGTGGAAACAGCTCTGAGCAGTACCAAGTTTCTCACCAATGCCACTGCTGTTAATGTTCCACAACAAATACATGGTTGTTAGAGGACAGAGACAATCAGCTCAAGGACATAATTGAGAAAGACAGGATATTTTAGCTGTGAAGAGATAATACAGCCTTTATTCACATTAGCCGAACACCGCTACCAGTGTTGGGAAGTTGGAGGCAGATGCTGCTTTGAGTTCAGCAATCAGTAGGGAGATTACACCCATGTAACACCAAGTGTGCTGACCACAGAGTAAGTGCTCAGCTCTGCTGGTGATACCTACAGGCCAGGCAGGTAGGCAGGAGGCAAACAAACTGTGCCAGCCCAGATGTGGGAAAAGGAGGACAGAAGACAGAGAACTTGGCATTTGACATCAGACACACTGGATCATTTTTGATTCAAATCAAAAACTGAGCACTGGGAGCCCAGGCAAAGGAGGTCCCTGCTCTCTTCTACTCCTCTTTTCCAAGGGCTGGTGCAGCAGGCAGGAGCAGGAACACCCCATAAGGAAGACAAGCTCCAGGTCTAAGCTGGCATTTAAAGCTTTCCAAATAATCTTTACAGGAAATTACATAAAGCCAGGGCAGCTCCTCAGCTTGTTTAATTGAATCGCTGGCGATTTCCTCCTGCCTTACCTGCCCCTTTAGCAAAGGCAGCAGTTGCGTGCAGAGCGGGTTGTACCAGAGACAACAACCAGAAGTCGGCATACCTCTGCTGGGCTCGTGCCACTCGTTACTGAACAGCTAAGATGTCATCCAGGAAAACTCGACGCACGACAAGCACTACCTTGGCTGCTGCAGCTCAGCAAGGACATGTCTGCAGAAATGCTGCTGCGGAAACTCCTTTCACACCCTGAGAGCAGCAGAGGTGCTAGTATATGAGGTTCTTCCCTCAGGAATGCAAATACGCTTGGTGTCCTGCAGAGAAAATTCAGGCTGAAAGGAGGCAAACCTCAGTCCTGTGCTGGTGGAGAGCCAGACATGCTCCGTCAGTGTCCTTGAAGTACTTCAAGGGCAAAAATAAATTATGCAGAAACAGTCTTTTGTTGAATAAGTGGATAAAAGGTTCTAATGGATATACAAAGCTTCAAACAGCCAGCTGAACATAAGCCAGCAGTGTGCCCAGGTGGCCAAGAAGGCCAATGGCATCCTGGCCTGTATCAGGAATCGTGTGGCCAGCAGGACCAGGGCAGTGATCGTCACCCTGTACTCGGCACTGGTGAGGCCGCACCTCAAATCCTGTGTTCAGTTCTGGGCCCCTCACCACAAGAAAGACCTTGAGGTGCTGGAGCGAATCCAGAGAAGGGCAAGGAAGGTGGTGAAGGGTCTGGAGCACAAGTCTGATGGGGAGCGGCTGAGGGAGCTGGGGGTGTTTGGTCTGGAGAAGAGGAGGCTGAGGGGAGACCTGATCGCTCTCTACAACGACCTAAAAGGAGGGTGTAGCCAGGTGGGGGTCAGTCTCTTCTCCCAAGTAACAAGGGATAGGACAAGAGGAAACGGCCTCAAGTTGCGCCAGGGGAGGTTCAGGCTGGATATTAGGAAGAACTTCTTCACTGTAAGAGTCGTTAAGCATTGGAACAGGCTGCCCAGGAGGTGGTAGACTCACCATCCCTGGGGGTGTTCAAAGAACGTTTAGATGTGGCGCTTCGAGACATGGTTTAGTGGGTTTAGTGGGCATGGTGGTACTGGGTAGAAGGTCAGACTTGATGATCTTTGAGGTCTCTTCTAACCATAACGATTCTATGAAACACAAAAATTCGGGTTTTGTGGTGGTGTTATGTTGTCCTCAGAAAACTCCCCCGCACACATGCACAGATAAAACATCAAAGCAGAACATCAGACCACTTAATCCCCTTTCAAAGGGGAAAACTTCTTTTTGGTAAAGCACCCACTCAGACTGCTCAGTGAATACATGTGACAGTGATTTCTTCTCCAGCTGAGCCAGCAAGTTCACTGCAGCACTTGAAACCTCCTTATCCAGTGGGCTACAACTGCAGGGCGGATGCATGAAGTTCAAGCATCTTTTCCTCATCCCAGGAAATTCACCTCCAGTACCTTGAGAACTGGACACAGTGATCTCACCCCCATAATCTTCTCTGAGCTGCACATTAGCAACGGGACCAGGGGCAGAAGCTTTACCTCACTGTTCTGAATCTGCAAGATGCACTTAAAGGACAAAAACGGTTTGCAAAAATTAACAAGCAGGAAAAATACACCACACCGCCCTGGAGAAGCCTCTCTGTGGCTGGTGCTGTATTGGTTTTGCCCAGGAGCGATGTATGGGACCCATGGACAGTTTGACCTTTCTGCAAATGCCATTAAAACAACAAACAGAGCCAAGGCAGCTGGGTGAAGCCAATTTTTAAGACAGTTAACTCATTCTCTGCCTCACAGAGATGAAAATGGCCACATGCACAGGTGTGTGACACTTGGTTACCTCTCAGCTAAGGATGTACCCTGATAACAAGGGGTACAAAGATTCACCCCTTCCTGTGAGCTAAGGAGGTGTCAGCTGTGCTACGCAAAACATCTTTCCTGAAATGCCAGTGTAATCTGTGCACTGGAAAAGAATGAAATCCATGTCCTGAGTAGAAACTTGGCTGTCAGACCACTGAGGGGACCACAGGTGAAGTCTTGGACCCAGGGAGTCGACACTCCCACTCCCTCTCCCAAAAGAAGAGAGAACCGGTCTGAATGTCCAAGAATTCCAGGATCTCGTACAAGATATCCGAAATATCCTCTCCCTTTTGCATTCGGGGGTGGACAATGGACACACGACACGACACTCACAACAAAATACTAGAAGCTTCAGATTTCTACAAGGCAGAAGAATGTTTCAAGCAGCCACAAGCCCTGAACTCCACAAAGCTCCTCCACAAAGCGCGATAACACGGGCAACTGAAGGGCACGTGTTCCCTGCATACCAGGCACAGCTTAGTCCAAGCAGCAATCAAAGCAAGGAACAGCATTTGAAGCAAACTCAGAAGCAGATGCCGCCTGAGAGGTGCTTTTGTTCAACTTGTTTTGGGAAAGGTGAAATTACTGGGTGGGAGGAGGAATATTCCCCTCTTTGACAAAAGCTGTCACTGAGTCAGAAGCCCACAGCAACACCACCAATGTAGAATTACAGAAAAGGGGGGCAATGGGTACGCTTATGAGAGAGAGTGTGGAAAATTTCCTGACAAATGTTTTTAAAGAAAAATTTCTAAGTCTTCACAAAGTATGCAGCAGAAAATCCTTAGTTTTTAATCTAACCAGCTCAAGACACCTGTTTCATAAGAAAACATCACAATCCCACATATTCTGAATATGTACTTTTTCCCCTTTACTTTTGAAAATTAACCATTGCAGCTATTACTCTAAATCAGCAGTTTCCCAAATCAATGAGTCACTAGAATTAGTTAAGCAACCTGCAGAACCACATCAGAACTGAGAGCAAGTTTCTTCAGTTCAACATTTGCAAAGACCTTGGGTGATCCAAACTGAAGCATTAACCATCTGTTAATTAAGCACCTCCAGCTCTTGAAAACCAATCAATAAGTTTTCAGTCCTCCATCACGGGAATAACGACCATTTTCTGCAGCGATGGACAATGCCACTGAGTTCTACTCTGCTGCTTTAAAGCAAAAGCAGGAAGTCGGAACAGAAAGTTCCTAGGGAGAAACTCTGCCGAGACACAGCAACTCGCAAGCTCATTCAGACTTCCTTCTCAAATAATTCCTTGCCCAAACAACAGAGGCTTTCTTCCCTCCCCTCCACCCCGTTGCACAACCTCATTTTCTCTCTCTGCAGGTGTCCCCAAATACCTTGAGCTGCAGGACAGTAGCGTTCCCCTTCCCTGGAATCAGCAGTATATTCCACAGCAAAAAGCTAGCGGAGAACAAACACTGCCACTGTAAAGAGAGTATCAGAGCAGGTCCGAGCTAGGAGGTGTGGTTTGCAATCTCATCCCCTTTCCAACATAGGCTAGTAGCCATCGGTTTAGAAAGCCGCACAAGAAAAACTGTCATTAAGCTCCAAAGGTAAATTCTTTGTAATCCTGGCTCACACACAGCTGTGAAGGAGAGGGGTTTGTTTCTGAGCTGCCTTTGGCAAGAGGGGAAGTGGTGAGAAAGCAGATGATCCCTCATCTCATGCCAAATTTACCTTCCCCAAGAAACTGCAGCTGTGCTTGCAGGTAGCTCACTGCCTACCTCCCACCAGATTTCAACAAGGGAAGGGCTGGAGACTACCCCTGTGAATCCTGTCTCAAGTTTAATTCCACTTTTACAACGCTGGCAACCTGTTTCACAAAGAGAAGCACAGAGAGCTTATGAAAAAAGAAAGGCAAAGGATGACAGTGCAAAGAGCATCTTTCCAAAGGACCGTAAAACACACCCTGGGGTGGGGTACACACCCCAGGACTTTCTCACTAAAGCTGCCAGACATGCCACCCTCTGTCCTGCCGCTGACCAAAGCGCCACCAAAAAGAGGCAAAGCCACCCTTGCCTGCTGACAGTTGGAGAAGCTGATGGGAGATTTGTGGCTCAATGGCAGCTCCAGGACCTCCAGGCAGCATGAAGTTGTCCTTGGCTGTGTCAGCTCCCACTAGTTAAGCCTGAGGACTTCTTGGAAGGTGACAAAGAAAAGAAAAAATGAGCGTGTTGAGACTCTGGCAGGCTGGGTCTTCCATCACCTGCTATGGTTTTGTCCCCTTTGCTCACCCCTGCCCCAAATCCCTCTTTGTGTCAGCCCTCAAGAATAATATTTGCCCAGCAAACAAGCTTTGCCATACAAGTCACGAGCACGCAAGCCCAGCCTCTACAGAGAGCAAAAACCACTCTTCCACCAGTTCACACGGAGAAGACTCTAGCTGGTATCTGAACAGCAGAGACCTCACCAACCTGCAAACAGAGGAGCTCCAAACAGCCCCATCCTCCCAGCAGCAAGCGATGATGGGACCTGCAGAAAGCAAAGGTAAAGACGGGTCCTTCCCCATATATTTTAAGATGGTCATTTCAAAACCCAGATTAAAAAATGGACATGAAGACTACTACAAACGATCACATTTTTCTTTAAAACAAGTTTAACAGGGCCAGTGAGCTCCGTCAAGCTGTCTGGGAGGGCTCTGTGCTGCTGGAGGGCAGCTCTACTCCTCTCAGACCAGGATGATCACCTCTCCACTCCTCAGAGGCTCAGCTTTGCTTCAGCCTCAGGACCATACATCCCTTGGGACAGGCCGTAGCAGTGTAGCTGAGGCAAACAAACTTAACCAAGCCCATACCAAGTGAGGTACCTGCCTCTGAGCAGGACAGTTTACTCACCATTTTGTTTACCATTGCTGCAGAGGTGATGCTTAACACTGAACCATGGTCCCAGCTGGGATGCTGCTAGAATAGCACAAAAAAGGGAGCAAAGTGCTCTTCGGCACCTCGCAGCCTGTCCTGTCTCTAATCTCCTCCTGGGCTCCTTTATAAAGCTTCTCTTGGGACTGACCAGAACAAAAAAGCTTATCAAACACAAAAAAATAAATAGCATTTTGGAACCACATTAATGAATCTTTAGTGTTACATGGATAAAGGTCAGGAAATACAAAGTTACGGTTCCCATAGTAATGCTAATTCAACCATACTGCACATCATGTGTATCTAGTGGTACATGTTGAAAAGAAAAAGGCTTCATCCACCGATGCCAAAACGGTTTGTGATTTAGTAAAGACACTTGAATACCACCCCCCACCCGCAACATTTATTGTTCAGCGAAGTGAATTTTCAGATCGAATTGGATTAAGCCAATCCAAGCATCATCACAGCTCTCCATATCTAGGGCAATAGCAAGAGCTCTCAAGCATGATTACAGACTGAACATTATTTACCCAACCTGAATAGAGCAAAGAGATCCAGGCGTCAGAACGGGTTGAGTCACCAAATCGTGGTTGGTGCCGATTCTGCACTTGGATGCAGCAGGGAGGTGGTAAGGAGAGAGGGGAGAGCATCACTGACCAACACCCACACGGTCATAACTAGGAAATATTAATCCATTTCTATAAATGCTCATTTATTTGATATCGACAGCTTGAAACATCCCCGTGCCTAGTATCCCACCTCACAAGTCTGGAAACAGGTTGTGAATGAACTACAGCCATGCTGACCTCTCTCCAGCACAAATCTGTGTATTGCTCTGCTCTCCGAGCTCCTGAGGTCTTATCTTCATGCTTTACATAAAGCCCCACACCACTCTTCCCAGAGGGAACAGCTACAAGTGATCCATTTGCATTTAGCAGCTTCGACTAAGCAACCAGATTTGCATGGGAAGCAAAAGACTCTTTTTATTTCATAGGAAACGCATTAAATCAAAGGGGTTTGTGCAGCTGTACTGGAGCAGAGGATTACTCCTCTGGCTGTGTGTCTGGGAGGAAGGAAAGGTACAGCAGAGATCCCGCAAACTCCTTTAAGAGGCAAAGGGGTGAGGAAGAGGGAAGGCAGCTCTCAAGCACAGGATCAAAGCATGGAATGGAAGAAACATGTACATTTGTGGGGGCATCCACATGTGTGCTTTTTCCTCTCCAATAAATCTGAATTCTTTTCCTAGCTCCTGTGATCTCAGAGAGAAGGGCATAGTTCAGGCCAACAGACATCTTGGAACTTCAAAAACGTGATAGGTGAAGAGGGAGGCTCTGGCAGCACTGCTGCTGACGTGGTCCTCAGCCCTCAGCCCTGCTAGACACCAGGGCACCTGCACAGAGGACACTGAGCTGATGGAGCTCTTCATGGAGCAACATCAATCCCAAAGTCTGCAGCAGGACACCGGCACAGGAACACGTAGCAGAAGTCCTTCTGCCCACAGGGTTTCTGGGTGGCTGTTCCTTCACTCTCACCCCTCAGGCCCTTGGTGTCACCAGCCCTTGGTGTGCACCTACCTTCCCTTTTGGGCTTCAGCATCAAGTCTCCACATTTTAAAAAAGCTTTGCAACCCTCCCCACAGCTGAAATGCCCGGCTGTTCCTTGGAGCTGCACAAATCCCAGCTGGCATCCAGCCGCACCTCCCAAGGGTAACAAGGATTTGGTCACGCTTTATCTTATCTAAGCAACGATGACGCTTGTCTTCCTTCTTGGGCAAAGCTCAGCAGCTCTGCACCTGGGCAGAGGCCAGGAGCTTCAGCCTGCAGCGATTCACACCAGAGTGGCATGGCTCTGCTGGCTGGCCTGCCTGGCCCACCCCACAAACAACTGGGCATTTAGTCCACAAGCAAGAGTTATGGGGAAAATAAGGCTCAGTAATATTTACATGTGGTCCTTGCCAATAGATAAGCCCATCAATTTTATTTTGCAGGGAGTCAGTCCATTTGTCCAGAGAGAAGACTTCAACATCCATCATGCTGTCAACATACAGGTCACCTACAGCTTAAATTCCCAGCTGGGGATGAGCTCGGTTTCCTCCTCTTCATTTTACAGAGGGGAAACTGAGGCAGATAAAAGCACTACTCTTACTCAGAGATGTTTGCTGAATGAGGTATTCAGCTACTGTAACAGTGAGGGCCACCAAGTTTTCCTATTAGATTTGCCTCCCCGCACCTGCACCTCTGCCAAGCTCCCACTATGCCCAGCCAAGGGCTTACAGCTAGCCTGTGAGCCCGCGATCTGCTTCTAACCCTCCTTTTCCAGAGGCTGGACTCACCTAGCTATGCCCAGACATAGCTGGATTTTTCCCAAAAGGTTTCCTTTCCACAGCCTAAATGACATATTTAGACATTCCACAGATTTATTTTTAAAACCACACAGCCACCAGTCCTACTCCTCCAAAGGTCTGCAGATACCCTGCTTGGTATTCTTTTGAAGAGCTTGAGATAGGAAGCAATAAACAACTCAATCCTGTTACCTTGATTGCACAGCTACAACTGGACTTCAAGCCTTCACTGCATTGCTCTAGCCTTCATCCAGCACACGTGCTAAAGGTTAATTCTTTCAAAAAGCTGCAGAAGAGGTCTTAAGAGCTCTCCCTTTATTCAGACTCTCATCTCCTCTTCAGAAACGCAGGTTGCCTCAGCCCACGATACCTCATCTGCTGTGAAAAGTGACACCTTTGCATCTGCCAGGATCTTACCAGCATCACAAGCTCGGGCCAGCCCCATGCCCAGACAGAGCTGGACCACCACAGCAGATGTCAGGAGGTTCACGGCTCCCAGTCACATTTTTAGAAGTCTGCTGCCATCCTCCAAACAACACAAACCTTTCGTGTGGGGTTTTCAGGTGTACGTAATCCTCAAACACCCTTCTGAACCAGGCAGTCCCTTGCACATAAATCGGGCGGTTAACTGGTGCAGAAAAGCGATACGAAGTCTTGTACCAGCACAGATATTAAAACTGCAGAAGCAGGGACAACAGCTCCTCCTTCAGATGACACCTCTGCTAAATTCACTGCAATCACACACTTCACTAGATAGAAAGCAGGGATCTTAAAAGCCCCTTCCCTCTCAATCTTATTACTTGACAGATTTTTCCTCCAGTTACACCAACCAGATGAGAGCACTGTACCCTTCCAGAGTGTTGTACCATACCTCATTTCCTCCAAAACAAACCTACGACTGAAGTCACACTCTCCAACAGCACAAGACAGCATATGTTCCCGCTTTAGTGCTCTGTGACACACAGTTAAGAGAAAAAACACTTGCTTAAAAAAGTCCCCAGGGCTTCCCAATCATGTTATCCCAACCCAGATGAACCACAAGAAAGCCCACCATGGCTCCAAACTTCATTTGAAAGTTCACCGTACCACAACCTACGCACAACCCACAACAGCTACTAACCTGAGGTTTGGCATCATTTTCTCCCAAAGCTCACAATATTTGTTATTCCACTTGAGGCCCCTACGTCCTGCAGTCAAGTG